TGAAGACAGAGTTTGAAATGGTTTTTTTGCCAAGTTATCTGTTATCTGACCTAACGCTGGTTCATCCCTGAAGTTTGTGCATTATTTCCTACTTGAATGATTCATACATCAGTGTTGAGTAACTTAACAAACAAAAAACCTGCCCACTGAAATTGGTCAGGTGCAAAAAAATCAGGACTAATACATGTAGTACAAGAATGCAAGAGTAAAGTATATGCAAATACAAAAAAATAGGTCTAACTGCTTGGGGCCGTCTAACAGTGAGGGGCTGTCAGGAGACGTGACCTGAGCAATGACAGCAGGCAAAGTTCAAAGCGAAACCCTGGAAGAGTCAGACATATGTGAAGGAGAACACGCCAAAGGAGGAAAAGGGCCATATTCCCTTTCCTGTTCATTCCAGGAGAATTTTCCCACTATGATATATTCTGCTCGGGCTTCTCCTCTGAGGCCAAACAGACATCTATGAGAACACTGGGCCCCATTATCCCAGTTGCCACCCTCCTCATTTTGTTGCCCTCATTTTGTCAGCTTCTCACAACACACATGATGTATATAATGTAGCAGACAGGCTGATTTCCATATTTCATCATCACAAATATCAGAGCTTACAGCAGCCATGTCATGTGTCATTTCTGGTGTTCAGTCCTGCTGGGCTTATAGAATATTTCAGTTACATCCTAAAAAAAATGTAGTAGATATTCTGAGGCGCTACACTGACAGAAATAAGAAAAGCATCAATTGACCTGTTGGATAAATCAGGTTCTTCAACTGTCGTGTTTTCAAAGTGATCATTATCCACTGCCTGGAAGGTTTGTGGTTTGATCCCATCATCACAATACCAAAACGTACGTTTTGTCAGCATGTTTCAGCAACAAAGTTCAATTCAGTTCAATTTTAGTTTTATGGCGACAAATCACAACAAATTTCCCTCAAGCTGTTTGCGCATTGAGCAAAACGCAGCGTAAATGTGTGTCTGAGTAAATGAATGTGACTTATATTGTAAAATCACTCGGATGGGTTAACTTCTGATTTTAAAAAGCAGAACAAAACATATTTCGATTCTCAGTTTAGCCTGCTTTTTAAGCTGTTGCACTATAAAAGATAACCATCATAACAACCATGACTCTCACCAATTGGCTTTACACTTCACATTTAGCATTTTGGCTTCTACCACGCTTTTTTAGAGAGCCACAAACAATCACAGGGTGTAATGCTGAAGTTGTCATCTACACACAAACACATGTATTTGTTAATAAACCAACTAATAAAATACAACAATTTCACTCACCAAAACTGAAGCATGAACTTCTTGGAGGTTTCTTTACCACACAGCAGTCGTGTTATTTGTCACATAATTACATAAAAATGCTCCATAAGCCACCAATTTCACAAACATATCAAAAGGTTTTAATGAGCTGAAGTAGTGTTGATGAGGCCCAGCAGCTACAGCTGCCTGTGTCACTACCACCATGTTATTTCTGTTGGTAACGTTGGCATTTTAACATGGGAGCTTGTTTTGGTACTAAAAGCTACAACTTAGCTGGTACCAACTCCGATTTAGGTCTTACTACATTGACATGAATTAAATCAAGTCGTCCGGCAACTTAAAAACTGTGTATTATACATTTAGAGTGAATGGTCTGATTCTTATATAGTGCTTTTCTACTCTCCTGGAGTACTCAAAGCGTTGTATACAACATGCCTCATTCACCCCCTTCACACCCACTCATACAAGCACTTCTAAACTTAAGTGCAATCTAACCAACATTCACACTCCGATGTTAGTATTTTGCCCAAAGATATTTGGAATGCAGACTGGAGAAGCCAACCTTCCGATCAGTAGCTGATCTCCTCGACCACCTGAGCCACACACTTTATGCACCTTAATATAAATTTCAGTATAGATAAGAAGTTTACCTGGACAAAAAAAGGCCTAACTTATAAATGTATTTCATTATACTGATGTTTCAGAAAGCAAGTTTAACAAATCGGTAGACATCAAATACTTAATTTTACTAACACAATAAATAAAGAGATGAGGCTACGTTTTAATCAGGTGCATCTTAATGAGGTCGAGGATGTTTCATTAACTAACAGGGACAAATGCCAGTAATGGCAACTGCGAATTAGTTTAATTATGGAGTTTTGATATCATATCCATTAGGAAGTGAGGTGTGAGTGTGTATTAGACAAAGAGCTTAGGCTCTATATAACTGTGTGTGAATGAGTTTTGTAGTAAATATGAATTGAAACAAAAGTTAGCTTGAAGTTCATAAGACATGAACTTCACATCATCTCCAACATGATGTCAGTAAATGGGGCATTTTTCCATCACGGCAACAGATTACAGCATGAAAAAGATCATTGTTCTCAGTCGATATCACGAACCTCAATCAATACCAAAGCTTAGGTCTTCACTCAAACCTGCAGTTTTAGAACTTTTATATCATAAGTAAATGACTAAAGTAAACCAGGAGGACTCATACAGGTCCTATACAGAGCCTCGAGGTCCAGTAAGTGTAACCAGTAAAGCCACAAAAAGGGTAGTCAGGCATGCGGATGGTGTGACTCAGAGCTCCAGTGGTTCTCCAGCCACCTTTAGCCTGGCTCTCAAATCCCCCCCCTGACAACCGTAGCGTGCAGAAAATAAAAAGACATATTTCTACCCTAAGAGGAGAGAGAGGAAGATTGTGGAGGAGGTGAAGTGGCAGGGGGCAAAAGCAAAACATCAAGCAAGGAGATGAACCCAGTGGGGGTTGGGTGGGTGTTGCTGCAAGCTGAGCAACTGATCGCTGGAAGTGATTTGGCTAAAAACAACATGTCATTATAGGAGCTTGCAGGGGCAAAGTAAACAGCTCGTATTTTTAGAAGGCCAGGAGAGGACAACGGCTGGGTAGCAGAATTCTCCCACTTCCACTGAAGAACGAAGGAATTTGTGAGATGTGGCGTCATCCATCACAGCCTGCTTTATCCATCAGCTGCTCTGTCCTGACAAGCAACCGGGCCCAACCCATTGACCCCTTCACCAGGCTCAAACTCCAAGCAGCTGGTCAGAAGATGGAGCATGAAATAAGCCCCCAACCTTCAAATCCACGCCCCATAGTAACTGATTTATATGGTGTAGATACAAGCCCTTTATCATTGCTCCTCAACAGGCCCCTATTGAGGAGGGCAGCCAGGTCCTCTAGGCTTGGCTGTCAGTCCTCACTCTCATCATGGTGGGGCTTTTGTTTTTTTGGCATATCTTTGGTTTTTATGGCTTGGCCACTCTGATGTTTACCCCTCCAGCTATTAGCGAAGTGTAATTCATAGAGTCACTGTGATGTCCAATGTATGCGTCATTGTAGACGAATATTGCATTTACTTTTTATGAGGCTTTTTTAAAGTCCAATACCATAACTGAGTGAGTGGACGGGTAGGGCTGATGGAGGGGCTTCTTTATGAGATGTTTGGTGTCATAGCGCCATCTAGAGGTTTGACGTTTAACAGTATTTAACTGTCATTCATTTATGGCCCTGAACTGACAGGAGAGCATCAACGCTGATGCTGATTGATAAGATGCAGCTCACAGTCTGTCTCACTCTCTATCCAGTTGCGTTTACACTTCTTGTGGGAGAAAACAGCAGTAGCTGTATTTCATTTAATTGAATTTCTGCTTTATACAAGCTGAAGTTCCTCAAAGCACTTCATGTTCTAAGATAAATACTCTAAAATATTAGAGAGTAAGTTACAACAATTTGAAATTCTGATTAATCTGAATAATTCACTTTTAACAGGAAGAAAGCAGGAAGACAGCAAAACCAGACTGCAAGCCTTTTTTATATGTTTATTTTGTTAAATAAATGCAGTCTAAGGATGTTTTAAAAACAAAAAGTCAAGAGGAAAAAAATCATCATGTGTTTCTCTCCCATTTTTCACTCTCAGTGCTGCTTAACCTGAACAAGATATGACTCTGGGAACGCTAATCTCCTCCCTTTTGATTACTGACCTAAAATAGAGTCGAATCTAAACTATTTCTTCTTCGTTCTACGTGTCAGACCTCATTGTTTGTCTGGGATTTTTCCCCCCCAAGCTTTTTCAAATATTTTCATTATTTCCAGCTTCACGTTAAAACATGGCACATATTTGATGCAGCCTCAGACTTCTGGACGTCACTGCATTGACACACTGGCTGTGAGGCAGCTGTGACTAATGTTAGTCTGTTAAAGCACCTGCTTTCCGATTTCCCTCTCTTCTGTTCACTGCTCTGATTCGATTGATTCACCGCTGAACACAAGCTTACCTGAATGTTTTCAAACTTTGCGCCTGCCCTGCTATGATAAGTAGCGTAAAAAGTCCATTGGACATTTGCATAGGAAAATAGAGATGGAGTCAGTTTTTGTATACAATGAGGTTTATAAAACACAGCACATATATTTCAAGACATACTACCTTGCACTTGTTTCTTCAACATAGCTTTCAGTCAGGTAATACTTTCTACCTGTATCAAAGAGTGTAACTCTTTTTCCTCATCTCCTTTTGTCCTTCAGTGACTATTTTGTTTCTTCAGCTCAAATCCCAGGAGATCAATCACTCCGAGAGCTTCCATCCTGATAAACACGTCTACTACAAACCTATAATACTGCACAATTAATTAAATTTGCCTTGAAACAAACTTGATCTCTCACCTGAGCACTGGAAGATATTTTACTTATATTAATGTTATGCTGTTGTTAACTGCCTTTTATCATTTTATTGTGAACAATCCGTTTTAAATATGAACATTTGAAAAATAGTATATTGATGTTTTCTTATTTTGCTTGTCCTTGATGCACCTGGAGTACTGCTGAAATACGACAATATATCAAATCAGAAAATAATATTACAGTCAAATTTTTTCTGTGGTTCATTAAAAATGCTGAGGATAATAAATGATTAAATCATTCTGCTGCATTTGATTTACTGGCTGATAAAAGTATTTATCAATTGTTTCCAAAACACAAAGTTTTCACACGAAAAGCTTTCAGGGAAAGTTTGTTTATTGTATGTATTTACAGGCTTTTACTAATGAGACATATTCAGCCGGTGGACAGTTTACGGTCAATATGCTATAAACAGGCACTGTTAGGAATACATGCATGCACGCACACACACATGCACGCACGCACGCACACACACATGCACACACTCCTCTGCATGTCCCCTGATAAGAGGAAGTAAATGAATGAATGGATGGATTTACAGACCAGTCTCTATAGCAACTGCATCCAGTTGTATATCTGGTGAACTCTAAGGCAACGTGGATGTACTACAGAGGCACTTTAGGCTGATCCATAGTAGTATTTAGGTGGATATTTAAATTTAAAAAAAAATCACAATAAGGAGAAATAATGTAAATATTGTATGTGTATGTTAAATTATCTGTTAAAGTGATTTCCAAACACCCTGAAACTTGAAAATACCAAATAAATACAGGGCCAGTATTTTAAGCTTATGTCGGGGAGATCAGTGTGATTTTTGCTTCCCATCTTGTTTTTTCTTTTTCTTGAGACCTGGAACGTACGTAAAGTACTTTGAGTCAACTTCTATTGTGTAAATGTGCTACAGGATATAAATAAAATATATGTGACAATCAACACAAAAAGATTCAGACATTTTTCATAGTGCATATTTTTCATTTCCCCCTCCAAAAAATGAAAACAAATGAGTGGACTACATACTGAACACAATAGTATTTATCCTATCGTGCTAGTATTGACCTGATGCCAATACCAGCATTGGTTTAGATACTATCGACATTTGGAACGATCCACCCACCCCCAGTGCTCATACTTTGAGGAGCCGGTTACATCACTCTGATCTAAGGGGACCCTCACATACTTGCGGACACCTTAAATACAACTTTTCTAAGTGGAGCATCATCCCTCAGAAACAACATCTGGCCAAGTCACACTTTCAGTAGACAGCAGGAAAATCTTCCCTGCAGTCACACTACTTCAGAAAAAACATGCTACATGAGGTGTTTATCTTTGGTATAAATGACAAGCTGCTAACTAAAGGTTTAACAAAAAAGTAACACCATTAGCACTGAACCTGTATTCTGCAAAAGTATATTTGAATCAGTTGCACTCAAACACTTCATCCATTTTCTTCTTGGAAAGAAGAGCAGAAATGAGGAAATGTGTTCTTTATGGCCCTTATAATCAAACATAACACTCATATGAACCCCATCCCAAATGCATTGATCCTTCATATCAGATTAATTTACAGAAATTTCTTCACTTATAAAATTGTTCTAAATTCTTTTTTTTTTTTTAATAATTTAAGAGTTGTAGTGTTTAAAAAAAGCCCTGTCCAAGTCACTGAGTGGAGAAGACATTTTGGTTTAGCCACTTTTCAGCTGAAATCAAGACTAATTTATTCATATAAATAATCATGCTATCATGCATATTTATAGGAAGGAAGCTGAGGAGGCTTCCCATCTGTCACATGGTCGCGTTTAAATATAATGGATACAGACTGGTATCAGAAGTGGAAGCCGTTCTATATAGAAGTGACAACTACTGGAATATTTAATCTTCTTTGGAGATCCCGCTGGAGTAATGCTGCACAGGTTCCTCCACCTCAATCACCTCCACCACCAGGTCACGGATCTCCTTGACGCAGTCCAGAGGCCGTGCTTGGGCAGGACTGGAAGGTGTCTCCTCTTGAACGGGTTCACTAGACAGAGATGCTGTCATTTTCTCCACCTCCTCTGCTTCCACCTCTATAATGGCTCCAGTTCCAATGACAGTCCCACTCTTCACCTCTGTCTGGACTGGCACTTTGTCACTTGCTGTTATGTCCTCAGTAGCATCTCCTGAACCCACTGGTGACTTCCTGATGTTAGCTTCGCCCTCCAAAATGTCTGAGGATGTTGACACGTCATCTGTGGACTCAACATCTGAGGGATGAGACTCGCTTCCCACTGACACAGCCAGAGAGCTCGTCTCTGAGAAAGCAACTGGTTCTGCGTCCCCTACGTTCTCACTGAGGACTATTCCTCCTAGTGCTTCACCACTAGGTGGAGCCTCGACCATGATTTCTGGGTTCTCACGCTGTGTCTTTGCTTCAGTATTGGCAGGCAAGGATTCAGTTCCTTCTGCTGAAAGGTTAGAAGCATTGAGAGATTCTGCCTGCTTTGGTGCTTCTGTTGTTGTTATACTTCCTACAGCAGTGGGAGGTTCTGCTTCTTGTGGAGCATCTGCGCTGTTCGTTTCAGGCTCAGCAGCTGTCTTAGTTTCTTCTGTTTTGACAGAAATCACATCTTCATGCATCACAATCGCTGGAACTGCTGCTGCTGTATCATTTGTGCAGCTCTCTGGCATGTTCTCTATTAAATCAGGGCTGTTGAGGTTACTATTGCTTCCTGCTTCTTCCGCAGCAGTTTGGATGACATCTTCTGCTTTAAGTGCTGGTAGGTCTGATTCCTGACTGCCAGAGGAACTAGTACCAACCCCTGTTTCAACCTTCCCCAGAGGTGTCTCACCCACTATCATGTCCTTTAAGGCCTCACTCTGAAGCTGGTCTTTCCCTTCCTCCTGCTGTTCTTGCTTCTGGGAGCTGGCGAAGACATCATTAGAAGCAAGTGGAGAAGGCTGCGGCTCTAAAGAAGGTTTATTGAGGGAAGCCAGTGTCATGGCTGGGCTGCCAGGAATAGATGCTGGCAAGGAAGAGAGGCTAGACTGACTGGTCAGGTCTCGCTTGTCTGTGAACAAGTTGTACTTCTTTAGGTTGGCTGCCTCCTTCACCACTGCAGAATGACAGAACAAACAGGAGGATCGATTAGACGTAACTCTACACCTGTGTCTGGGGAAAGGCTGTGTGTTGCTAAGTTGCCATTATTAGTCTTTTTGTACCTTTAGTGACTTCCTTGTCCAGAATTTGCAGAAGGATGTTTTCATAAACATTGTCAACATGAACGAAGCTTGAATGGTCACTATAGATGATCTGTTCAAGACCCTGAAGCTCCTGTATAGAGGGACAAAGACAAAAGTGTCAGGCTTTGTTGAGGGATATGTGTGTTACATAGTGTATACAAATATAAAATCCCATAGACCTGGCGTCCACATATGTGGACATCACATTTTGCTTTACAAGGGCCTGATATCCACTTTCCACTTACGAGGACATTATACTGCCTTTATTCTATCAAAATTTAAAGCGAATGTCCTTGTAAGTATATCTTATTTTTCTCAGAAACAAAAATCAGGTACAAAAAAAATAAAAAATATCACATAATTCTTTGTTTTTACATTCATCAGGTCCCAATCAGCCCAAATAGCAAACAGAAATTTAAAATGCATGCCATGGAAGAGTTCGGGTCTTTAAATTTTCATCAAATCAAAATACAAGAGAACGTGATAAATTTCCTTGAAAATTTTATTTGAAAGACACAAACTATACAGGGTATTCCCTATAAATTGCTAATGCTGCTCAGTCATATGCTAACTGTTAAGCCAATGTATGTCCCACCTGCCAATGGGACACAAATGTCAATATAAGAGCAGTACATTTAGGTCAGAGTTATGAGTAATATCACAAACTGACCACCTCCAAAATTGGCAGTTTGCTATACCTGTATGGACCAACAGCCATTATGGGGACAAATTCCTGTCCCCATGAGTTTGAAGGCATTTTTGAGACCCAAAATGTGGTTTTAGTGTCAGGGTTACAATTAAGTTATTGTTAGGTTTAGCCTAAGGATTAGAGTTAGGCATTAATTTTTGATGTTTAGGGTTAGGGTAAGCATTTTGTCAATTAGATATCCCCGGGGTTAGGGGTATGGTTAGGGTTAAAATAAGCTAGGGTTGATAAAGCAACTACTATTAATTGTAGAGTTATGGTAGGAACAGATGTGGTGGAATTTAATGTCCATAGAAAGACATTATGCTGTGTGTGTGTGAAAGACAGAGCCCTCACAGGTTTGCAGGTAGACACCAGGCTCTTCTTGATGAAGGGCAGAGTGATGGAAACCAGAGCTTCCTGGAAGATTCTCTTCCTCACCGTGCTGCTGTCATAGTCGTATTTCTGCAAGAAGATGGAATAAAACCAGTCAGTGCATCTGGAGGAGAGTTTATTAGTTTTAGATAAACAGGACCTATTCTGATTGTTATCTCTTACAAGCATTTGGCCTACAGTTCTGATGACATTTCTGTATACAAGTGAACATTTCATATTAGGGGGTAGATGTGAACCTCACCTGCACCTGGTTACAATTTTCTCATGTCTTAACTAGAAACTTGGGAAGTTTTGTTTTAGATGACAAACTGACCTTGAGCACTATGTGTTTGACCTTCTCAGTGGCAGAGCTGGCGTTGTCTGGGTTGTCCTGGATGGCTTTGTAGAGCAGCTGCTCGAAGGTAAAAGCTGCATTCTCAATCAGCTAAAATGAAGAAGCAGAGAATTAAATTGGACTTAACACTCACAATATGTTATGATTTTTTTTTTTTGCTATCACTGTACACTATAAAAACTTAATCCAAATTTTCTGGACGTTTCACCTCTCATCCGAGGGGCCAGGTTTCACAATGAGCTCACCCAAAACCCCGAAACCCTTTTATGAAACCCACCAGTGTTTCATAAAATGCTGATTCACAAACGAGTTGTGAAGTCCTTAGACTCACTCCATCTCAGTAGAAATACCCTCTCAGAAGGAGGGAAAGGGAATTCAAATAAATCGCCATGTGAATGACAGCATGAAGCTGTACCTGCTGCAAATCGATCTGAGCACTGTGCATCACTCCTGTGGTGTCGGAGAATCCAAACCTCGCCTGCAAGTGCTGCAGTTTAACCTGCAGGGAGCCGATCTTCTCATAGCAGTTCAGCAGGTTCGGTTTTGCCATGGCGTCGAGAGACTGAGAGACGAAGAGAGAAGAAGACAGAGGAGAAATTAATGAGATTAATAGCCAAGGTTTGTCTGTTCACTTTCACAAGGTATGAAAGTGAATGCAAATGGACACTTTGTGTCAGCCATGCAACAGACTGGTGACCTGTCCAGCATGTATCCAGCTTTATATCTAATAGGTCACCAACAACTTATGTAGAGGTAAATTTGGGCTTGAGGAAACATCTAGTTTCTGAAAAAAATCCCCTGTATTAAAGAAAAACGCTACTCCTAACCTTAGTTAACTCTTTCCTGTGAATGTTATAAAGTTGAAGGTTTAAAATGAGATGAATCAGCCCAACCAAAAGTAATTCTCTGGAGTGTAACAGGTTTGTTCCGTTATATCAGAAAAAAACCAAACAAGTGAAATTCCAACCAACCTGTTTCAGCTGTTCGTTACCACATCCCTGCTTGATGTCCTGATACACTTGGTCCATCGTGTTTTCACTTAGTTGCCGTCCTTCCTGGAACCCAGCGCTGATTGGCTCCATCAGCTCCTCCAGGACTGAGCCTAGGTACGGCTGGACAGAGTCGGAACACAGCTTCTCAGCTGGCTCTGACACTTTGGCTGGAGAAAAAAAATTACATTTGAGAAAACAGCCCAATTCCGTCACCCTTATTCCCTATATGAAGCTGCACTTCATTAGATCATTACATGGAGAGGAATGCAACACATCATTCTGTTTCTGAATGTTCTAAGTAACAAGGCTATCAGATAGATGAGAATACCTCGGATTTTTTCCTCGAGCTGCCTTCTTGAGTTGAGGATCTGGTCCATGTCGGAGTGAATCAGCACCTCTTGCTGCCGAACAGACACCCGACATTCCTCCTTCAATGCTGATAGCCCCTCAAACATGTCCTCCTGGACCAGGATATATACTGCCTCCACCATCTGAAGGTAGCAAATTCATGAAAAAGATGTTTGTTTTTTTTCCTGTTTTTCTTCTTTTTAATTGATTTTCGGTTTTTTTTAAAAAAAGAAAAATGACTTCCAAGAGTGCAGAAAAGAGCCCGGAGACTTCATGAATAATGTATTAGTGCACGACTTTTTCAGATATAACCCTGAAAAACAGACTTCCATTCATTTTTCCTTTCAACAGCTGGGAAATGAAATCATATATTTCTTAGAAACTGCATCAGTTGCAAACATAAATGACTCACAGCAAACCAAACTCTCTTCCTCTCAGTCTTTTTGGCTTTGAGGCCAGGCAGCATGTCTTTCTCCAGAGACGGCAGCAGCTGCTCCATCACCATGTTGGCCATCACCTAGAGTTAACAGACACAGAAAATATCTCAGGTTTGTCTCATCATCATCCAAACGAGGCCAGAATAAACTTTTAGAAACCCTCAGGTTTTACTAGTAAGACAGGATTTCAATATTTTTTAAAAAACGAAAAAAACAAACAAAAGCAAACAAAGCAACAAAAACACACCATTTATATAGCGATATATATACACACATAAAAAGAGTGTTCTCTGGAATATTTCTCAAACCTATGTCAGGAAAAATGTCCAACAAACCCAGAGTTTAGAAATGAACTCTGAGCTGATTAACTCTGAGAATATTAGCTAGTTACTTCAATCAACTCTGAGTATATTCAAAGAGTTCAGCACGTACATGAGTAGAGAAAGAAAGCCATCGTGAATTGAGCTCCAATAACACACGTTGCTCTGTGGCAACAGGTAAATAAAGAGCAAAGCCTCCATTATAATCTGAGGGATACTGATGCATGGGAGTGTGGACATTTTAATTAGCTTAAAATATTTATTTATTTTCCTTTGGTCATCATTTACCCCATTGGTACTTTAATTTCATGAAGATAAACTGTATATAAACTGTATGAAGGCCTGATGGCTGATGTCTTTGTGTGCAGACCCACTCAGACTGATTTAGCTGATTTTCAGTGGAAAAAAATATAAATTTTCTGTGAATTTCAGGCTCTGTGCCTTGTAAAATACTGTTTGACAACATTTAAATTTACACTGTTCTTGAATATACTCCAGTGGCTCCAGCAAGTGTTTGTGTTTTACGCATGTTTCGTTTGTTGTTATATCAGAGGACAAATTCCTTCTATAATGCTAAGAGGAAGGATTGGAGACTGTTACGAGAATGTCATGTGGGTAAAGGCATAGTTTATGTTCACTGCCCCAAATTATTATATCTCTTTCTAATAGTCTGTGCTAGTGGCTTATATAATGGGAAAAGTACGGGGACAAAGAATCAACATTGCCGGTAGCCTCTTTCAAGGTCCACATGGTGAGACAAATTGCCATTTATTTTAATTAGAGTAATAGGAGACTGATGGAAAGATTTCACACCTCTGATTATACAGACATCAAAGCCAAAACAGTATCCCCAAAAAAACTGAATCAAAGCCCTTTTAAGTTTCAAGGCTTAAAACTATTAATTCTTCAGAGGAATTTTGCATCTGGTCAATGAGATTCCTAACATAAGCCAATGTGTGTGTTTTATAAGAAGCCTGTTTGATCTACATCTATAAGGTAGAATAGACAGAATGCCTTTTGTTGCCACTATACACACGTACATGTCCAGGGGTGCGTTACACAGCTAATAAGTCAACCTAGCTTTCCTGTACTATCCTTTATCCGTTTAATTTTCATTTTGTAAATGTATTTACATGTATTAATTATGTAGCCATTTCACTATTTATACTTAAGTAAATATTCATCCTCAGTATTACTATGTTGGGAGAAATAACTGTTGCTAAGAAAAATAAAGAAAAGAGACATACCCTTGCATCACTTCCTATCAGCATGTCCCAGGCTTCGTATTTGCCTTTGTCCTGTCTGTAGAGCTGAATAGCTTTAAGGAAGGCCTGAACTTCACAAGTCTTTTTCTTCAGGAAGTCTGACAGAGGGAAGAGAAAAAAGTCAGACATGCAGGGAGCTTTGAGAAAATGAATTCACTGTCAAAACATTGGGCCATTGCGCTCGCTTGTTTTATCTTTATCATTTATTCATCAGCTGATTTTAACAGTACTTCACTGATCGCACACAGCAGATATTTATCTTTCATCTTGATGCTCAGATGACAAAATCGTCACACGACAGTCTTTGTGGCACAACGGCCAGTCATAATCCTCTCAGTTTTTTGTAATCCGGCCACAGCTGGGTAGAAGACACGACTGTATGATCATGTTGGTTTTTACCACCATTTTAATGATCTTGCGTGGGTTCTCTCTGGGTACTTCGGCTTCCTTCCACAGTCCAAAGACATGCAGTTAGCTGGGATAGGTTAACTGGAAACTCTAAATTACCCATAGGTGTGAATGCAGCAGCTTCCTGCAGCTTAACTGCAGGTGTAAATACAAGCGACTGTGAGACGAGGTTGTGGGGCCGAGCGAAGCGACCATTGTGGCGGGTATACTGTGGCCACTCTGTCAGCACTCAATACTCCATCCACAACCCATTCAGCCTGCCATTATTATTCATCTTTTCTCTGACTACAGTCCACAAACTGCTGGGTTAATGTTAACAGATGGCTCATGTGACTATCAGAGAACTGCTAGTTTAATGGATAATGTTAACATGTGTACTGGCCAAGTTAACATTTAAAATATGTAATTAACACTTCAGTCTTGTTGAAGCAGGAACTTTATGAAGACTTTCAGAGAGATCAGTAAAGGGTTGTTCGGTTTTATGAACATTAATTACTCACACTATTAGTAAGAGGAGGAACTGTGTGCCTGAGGAGGTGAGAACACCCTTTTCTGTAGCATCTTACCTTGGTTCTGGTGTCTGATGCAGTCTGATAGGATGGAAATGAAGGTAGCCTGTGTGGCCTGTTGTTTGAAGCAGAAATAGGAGTCCCTTCTGTAGGGCAGACGCAGGTAGACTGGAAACTGTCCCGGCATCCCTGCTATAGGTGGAGCAAAGTCCTCTTTTGCACCTGAAACAGAAAAGAGTAGATGAAAGTCTACATGTGCTGCTAGTGAGCAGCTGTCAAATGGCCAGAACCATTTATTCTTTAACTTTGTAGTGCACTAAAAATTAGATGACAATAGCAGGCTAGACAAGATTACTTTGATTATGATGTAGGAGAAGGTAATGGAAAATAGGTATTGACTTGGAGATGAATAACTTAGGCTTATTACTGTAAACAGTATGATACTGCAGTATATTTCTAACTAAGCAGCTCTTTCTATTTCGCTTGACAATACTTTCCTTAACAAATACCATGCATTTTGGGATCAACTTGAAAGAAAGGCAGATATGAAATGTAAAAGTGAGATCAGAGGTCAAATGTGAACGATATTAGAAAGCAATCTTTAATGTGATTTTATCATATCTTAGATGTTGCCATTACAAAGGCAGTATCATTTTAAGCATAATTTTAAAGACAAACATTTTATGAGGGTTTGACAGTCTTAAACATTGAACCTTTGATCTCTTCTTAATGTGATATTTATAATTTTCTTATCATTCCCTACATGCCTACAGACAATATTGCCAAAAGCATTTGCCTGTTTGCCTTCCCAACTTGAGAATTGTTAATCCAGAGGGTTTAATGTGATGTCGACACACCCTTTGCAGCTATAACAGCTTCAACTCTTCTGGGAAGCGCCTTCCACAAAGTTTAGGAGTGCGTTTATTTAATTTTTGGAGATTCTTCTAGAGGCACATTTGTGAGATCAGACACTGGTGTTGGACAAGAAGGTCTAGGTCTCCGTTTCTATTCATCCCACAAGTGTTAAAGTTCTTTATGAACCTTGTTTTGTACACTGGAAAATAGTTGTATTGGAACAGGAAAGGTCCGTCCCCCCTTCCACAAAGTTGGGCACCCTCCAAACCCAGATTCGTCCCATGGATTACCAGACAGAAATGCGTGACTCTAGAAATATGTTGTTGTTCATGAAGTAGTGTACAGGCAACATCCATTGAAAAATACAAATGAAACACATGCAAACAGAGAACATCACATTTACAGGGGGACAATGAAATGAACATAATATATAGGAAAATCAAAAATATTAGGATTTATAATGAATCCTTTTTGAAAAGCATATAGATTTTAATAATCACTGTGTGTGACACAATGTGTGTAGAAGGTTTAGTTCAGATCGGCCCACCCTCTGAGGAGCTACGGTACATACGAACATATATACGCTAAGATTATTGTTGATTATTATTATAAAATAATAATTGATAAAATAACCATTTCTGTTTGGACATTTAAATTCTCATGATTTCGTCTTTACCTGTGCTTCTTAAGAGGCTTGATGCTTTATGTACCCTTTTCCCATCTCTAACTGTTACCAGTTTGAAAATTTGAGCTTTTCATACGTAATAGTACGGTGTTAGAGGCTGTTCTACTATTAAACCAAAAGCAACTGACTTTTTCCAGTTAAAGAAAGGTCTTAGATAAAGCCTATGATGTCATCACGAGCCAAAACTATGGTTTTATTACAGAAATGACGGCGAAAGGTAGATAAAAGCATTGGCTGTGAGTAGAGCAATGTGGAAAATGAACCCATCACACAGTTACACGTTATTCTTACTAAAATATAAAGCGTAATATAAACTTTCATCATTCAGCTGGCTTTTTAAATATACTAACTAATTGCTATAACATTAATATTAGCAGTGGAAGAAAGGGTATTCTCTAATATTCTACAATTGGTTTTTCCAAATTTGTCAAAGATTTTTAATAAAAATTCAGCTGACGTTACTAACACTGATATTACAGAATCTCCTAACAAGGTGGCTTTAAAGAGAGAGTAGCTAATACTAATGGAAGTTTAAGGTAAGCGTTATTTTGAACTGCCAGTTATCGGGAGTTAATTTAGAAGAAGAGATTTGAAGACAGGAGACAGACACGACCATAGTCCCCTTTATAGCACATATAAACGTATCGTGCAATGCCTACATATAGTTTAGACAATATTAAATTGAAAATGTTCTCTACTGGAATTCAATATCTTCTAAAGTTACTGTCTGATGATTGCTTTGTTGTGTGATAGAGGAAATTTGCAAAGCTTTATTAAGAACCCAGTACCATAAGGCGATGTCATAAAAGTGTAAGTGATAATGACTCTTAAACCATATGTTAATCCAGTGGTTCCCAAATTTTTTCTGCTAGGCCTCCCTTTGTTTTACAAACACATCCTCACACAACCATATTTTGTTTCCAAACTCTAACATTTCATAAACAATTAAACAAATACAAGTAAACTGCAATAAATTACAGGCAGTAATAAAATAAATTACTAATTCTTTTACGCTACATCCACACCTACACGGGTATTTTTGAAAACGCAGCTGTTTCTATGCGTTTGGGCCTTTTCGGACACACGTAAACGGTGTTTCAAATCACCGACAATGGAGACCCCTTTTTTGCGCTTACGTGTGGACGAGGAATACAGAGTTCGTCACGCAACGTCAAAGGTATGTGCCCTTTTTCACGTCACGCTGTGCGCCACGTTATTGTGACAAAAAAAGGAAAGAAAAATAGTTGTTTTAGGTGTTTTACTCACAGCTTTCATCAGGAAAACATTTATCCACTACAGCCATGTACGCCTCTTCTGCCGTCAGAACCGTGCCCCCTGTAGGCAGGAGCTTGTGGCATGGAGGAGCTCCTTTAACAAAGGTCTGAAGAAAGAAGACACAGAATGAATAAGAGGGGCCCCTTATGTAGATGCCTTTGATTTGCTGACATCACTTTCACAGACTCACCTCAACGCTTTCGTGACACTCCAGGCAGTAGTTGGCTCTCACCACCACATACCTCTCCCGCCACTTCCTGGTGTCATCAAAGTAAAAGACACTTTCCTCATATAGCACTTCACCCTCCTCTGGAGCCGCCTGGTGAACACGAACACGTGCATGAAAATTTGTGCCTGCTCGTCTTTGAGTTGATTATAAACTCAAAACATATCAGAGTTGAGCCTCCAGGCTATTGTGGACTGCATGATGAACTCTTAACTGTTTCTGCTTTTAAAATAATTCATTAAAATGCGTTTCTTACTTTGTTGTAGCCAGCTGCCAGGTCAATTTTAAAATGCAGGACGTGATCAGGTCTTTCACAGTGAATGCTCTGTTTTTTATACCTTCCTTATTTTAGTATAGCTTTTCCAAAATGCAGCTATTCTACAATTATTAAATTGTTTAGAGGTTATCGTGTTGTATTCTCTATTTATTAGTAGATGGTCAAATATAGATTTGCCTTGACAATCCTCTTTTCCAGTCTTATTGACAGAAGTGCTTAAAGCACTCACGTTTAGTGCTCTATATAAAGAGTGCTTTTACCTCTCACACATATTGCAGTGTTACTTCAGTCTCTATTGTGTGTTTAACATCTTCATTTTTCCCCTCAGTATAGGGTTATCTTCTTTTGTAAAATCAGCTGCTGTGTTCCCAGCAGCCTACACTTCCCGGTATTTGTGTTTGTGATTGGCCAGATGCTGCAAGCACCACCCCTTTCATGTGAACACACAGGGGAAACCCCTGTGTGTTTATTATTGATTCAGCTCGGGTGAAAAGTTGCTAAGATAAGGTTTGTACGAAGCACATGCATCATGGATGTTACATTTCTCCAGTACATTTTAAAAGACATACCCTCTGTTTGAGCAGCTGTGTGATCTTCTGTTTGTGCTGTTCCACATCATCTTCTACCTGAGAGAACTGAGCCACAGAGAACTGTTTCCTGTAGTACGGGCTGAACTCTTCCAGCACAGCCTCGGCCTGGCCTGCAACAATACAGAAGAAAGGCCGCGTTTTTAATACATTGCTTTTGAAGCTTAGAAAAGCACATATTATTGTTGGGGATGGGTGGTGAAAACTGAACACTGAAGCTGTGAATGGATGGCGGTCAGATTACAGGCACACTAACAAAGAGACTGAAATGCAAACCAGGAAGTTTTGACCAAGGGGAAAGCTGTAGAGCTGCACTTAGTGTGAATGGAGTTATTTTGCAATACCAAAAATACAAAAATTAGTTTACAGCAGCGTGAAGACCAATTGTGAAGACCAAAGGAAATGAGATAAGAGAGCCACAATTTGTCAGTGTGAAACAAAATACTGTAAAACCCATATGGACCCATAACCCAGTGTTTTAAAGATCTTTAAAGTTAAAAATCACCTTTCCCTCTCCTGCATTTTATAAACTATAAATATATGTGTGTGTTCATAAACGGTTTTACAGTTAATGTACATACAGAAAGCAGGCTAATGTTATGACTTTATTTTATTAGACTAAAAAGATTTAAAATCATGACTTGGCCTTCTGGAGCAGGAAAAAATTAACAGCAACAGAAGATTAAGATGTAAAACTACATTACTGGTAATAGATAAACCTATAACCTATAAATAAATAATTAATACATCACTGCAATAGCTGTGAATATGAGGTTAGAATGTTTAGCTAAATTATCATGAATTTTCTATTATTCAAGGCCCACTTTAGTGTCTGCTGGTCTTGAAAAAATGTTAAAACAAGTAAAGAGAATGATGACGGCTTACAAGAAGTCAAGGAAAAGGTTAAATTCTAACGCTAATGACACTTGATCGATAAACTGCAGACACATTTATCCCTGCTTCACTACTACAAGCCAAATTAAAAACGTCTTAACTGGTGAAACAGTTCAACCACTTCAAAAAAAAACAAACAAACAAAAAAAAAACATTGTATAAAATGGGCCGTGCTTGACTAACAAAACAAACACATGAAGTGCGAGTTGAAATTGCCATATCTGATTCAAACTTTTCCAGATGCCTTTTAGGAAATATTGAAGAAAAATGGCTCTTCTTTCTGCTTATTTTCAGTGTCTTTCACTGTCCTCTAACATAGTATTCCAGTCTTAATACATACCAGATGGTATCTCGCTGTACCTGATGTGACCCGTATAATTCTCCTATAATTAGGTGACTGAGGTTGCTGTTAGTAGCTCTCGAGACTATATGAGTCATCTCTATCCAGATTACAATTGGCACATCAGACTCCAAGACCTGTCACCAATAATCGTCAACCAGAACCCCTTTCTCTTTCTGCTTTTCTTAGTCCTTCCTGTTGTCAGCCGTACTGTTGCCAACACAGAGAGAAAAGAAAACCTCTCAGATTTCTCTCCATTCTTATTAAATCAGGTCAGACGCCTTGTGTGAAGGGATCCTGATTCCTGGGGGGGGAATAAAATTTAGCTCACCAATTCTTTCCACTGTTGCTTGCCTTTGCAAACCAAATCATACCACCAGAGAGATGAGGAGGGGTAGGGATGCGTTAAATGTGTATTTATGCTCCCCCAAATGTTCAGTGTCCCCAATTCCCAGTGATACATCGTTCACTTGCTGGACGAGCAGGGACAAATATTTGGCTGCTGCTTGTTGTGTCTCCCAGTATAGGTATGCTAATGCTGGGGTTAATGCCTCTGCCATTATGCCTGCATTCTGCCTTCAGACTAGTATGGAACTGGAGCTCTGTTACACTGTATTAATGCACTGAAGAACAGAGCACTCACGGAGCAGAGTTGGGAAGTGAAGTATGTGTTTGTGTAGCATTGTCCAAGGCAAAAGCATTTACTAATGTAGCTATTAATTTATGCATTTTTCACAGACTCTTATTGGAATTATAATGGGAGATAATATAGTATAGTAGCCTTAATGGCCTTCATGTACTGGCTACAGCATATAAACTAATGGCTGTAATTTCATAATGGTTTATGGCACATTTCAATTCAACCCATGTCAAATTATCTACTTGATACTGACTCACAATCAGCTAAAACTGTGCTAGCATCCAAACTGAGGGTTAAAAACCTTTAAGGGGACAACAAGACCTAATTGTGGATTGAGGAAGAAAAAGAACAAAGAAAAAGTGGTGTAGTAGTAGTAGTAGTAGTTTGTCATAATCAGAAGTACTCGGAAGCTAGGAGAAAGGGAAAGAGAAAGGTGGCAAAGGTGAAGGCTAGTGAGTTCTAAGGAAGCCTGAAGGAAGAGTGGGACAAAATTCCACCCAGTGTGCACTAGGAGTGACAGGTGGGTTGGGATAACATTAAGTATCAGGCTCTGAGCCCATTCTTGCTTGCAGTGGTGATGGACAGGTCTATATGGACGACTTGCAGTACACACTGTGATTTGTAGTGAGAGTATGGAGCACAATATATGTGTGCATGACAGGAAGGCAAGTGTAAGGTAAACGTGTGGTCAACCATTCAAAGCAACAGACAGTCCGCAAGAGACGTGCAGAAAAGAGTACAAGCAAGGTGAGGAGTGGGTGGAAATGAATGTCACGGTCATTTATGACAGAAGAATACATCGAGAATGAAGACTTCAGAGAAGTTCACGTATGTTGTGCATAAAATAAAGGATAATGGAGTGTGTTTTAATGGACTATTGTGTCACTAGGTACTGATAAGGAGGATGTAGTGGAGGAGGACATGGAAAACGGTTGGTGTGACAGAACAGGATGCTAGCAATATGGTGAGATTGAGGAAAATCATCCACTGTGGCAATGCCTAAAAGGAGCAGCCGAAAGATGAAGACAACAACTATGAAACATTTAAATACCCTTGATCTAAAGTTGAGTAAAATTCCTTTCTCTAAAACAGTTTACATGGCCAGACACTTTCCATCACGGCAAAGACAGACGATGACGTAATGATGTAAAGTGCTGGCTGTTCTGCTTCAAGAGAACATAGAGGAAAAGGTGAGATGATTTGGACATGTGCATACGAGGGACAGTGGATATACTGGACAAAATGTTGAAGATGGAAAACAGGAAGACCTCAGAGAAGTTCATGCATGTAGTGAATAAAACAAAGGTGAATGGTGTTTTAATGGATTATTGTGTCACTAAGTACTAAAACATAAGCTGTGAATCATTTAGTAGCTGGTTTCACCTTATTGATGCAGATGTGTGTGGGCGGGGATCCTCTGCACTGCAGCTACAAACAAGGAAATACCCCTACTAACTTATATATACACACTTACAGGCACACTTATTCTGGCTGCCAGCTCTCTAAGCTTTCTGTTAGAATACATTTAACAATAAAAAATAAAAAGTTCTTTTCGTAGTTTCAGTGGAGCCTCTTCACAAGGTTATCTCAAATTGTCTCTGACGAGACTGAGCTAAGTGTCTGTGAACCTTCAGCTCAAATCGGCTGCTGTTTATGCAAAATGTCTGCAGCCACTATTTGGTTAATGTATCCTCTTTTTCAGGTTAAGTGATCATGCAAACACAGAAAGGTGCCTTTAGCACCTTTTCATAAATCACTGATTTAAATAAATAAATAAATAAATACATGATAACAACTAAGGTCATGGCTTGCTGTATGATACATCCTTTCCAAGACAGGATGTATCTTTTTGTTTAGGAAAATTCTGATTCTGACGTGTGTCCATGTGTTACGCCTGTACAATTTATGACTGCTGCTAGCAAGTTTGCTAGTGTTAGCATGTAGCTTAGCTGGGCTTCCTTTCAATCAACTTTCAACTTATTGCTCTAAAATACAAAACAAAAAAAATTATTGACACAGTGTGTTGTTAGCTGTCACAAAAATTCCCTTATGAAGTGAGACACACAGAGGAGCGAGTTCTAATGCATTTATTTTCACTCTCGGTGAACGTCTATGTGAGTGCTTGTCAGAGCAATCCTGTTGGGCCTTTTTATACATTTCTCCCAATGTTATCCTGGGAACATATGTGTGTGTCGTGTATCCACGAAATGCCCCTTTTAGATTGTGTTGTCAGAATCTAGCCAATCCTTTTTATGTGAACATGTAAGGGAAAACCTGGGTTTACCTTAACAAGCTGATAACCATCTTTATGTGGACAATGTTAGGGTAAGTGAATCCTGACAACAACAACATACCATAGGTGTGTATGCTGTACTTGCTTTGTAGTACAGAGCCAAAGATTTATAATAACTAATGATTCAATGCAGGATTCAGGGTCACCTGATCCAGCCCTGGTAAAGAAATTGTTTGACATTAGGGAGGAGCTAACAAGCCATGTGATAAATAGAAGAGACAATGATAGTGAGTGACAAACAGAGGTAACTGCATGCCTGGAGATTCTGGGGCTAAAAATGTTATAGCCATGGGCTGTCTACAGCTGACAGGGAAAATGTTGGACTTTTAAACCAGATGCAAGATAACATTACTGAAATGTACCCAGAGCTAAAATTAGCATTTTTGCATTGTTTTATACGTGAGACTTATCGAGAGCTAACTTGAATAGGGGCTTCAAGAAGGCCAAACACTGGTATAAGGATATATGTTTTGATTAATATCATCTTATGTGTCGGTTTAATTCTTGTTATGTTTCTGGAGAATTTCTAGTTCTTAGGCTTTGGTTCCCGTGCGTCCTCTGTTCTCGGTGTCTGTGTCTGTCATGTGCTTGTTTTGTTTTGACATTCCCTGTTCTGCATTCAGTCTCTGTCCTCATGTTTTCTCTGTGCCCGTCCTGGTTCCACGTTTCCTGTCTAGTCATCCCCGTCTTTATGTTCCCTCAGTATCGTGTCAGCTTGTGTCTCTGAGTCTGGGTCTGTAAGTTAAGTCGGTGTGTTTCCTGTTTTACTTTGAAGGTCCGTGTCTTAAGTCAGTGCATTCAGTTTTGCTTCCCTTGTCTCGTCCTGCCTGATTAGTCCCAGCTGTGTTTCCCTTCCGTTTCCTGTTTCCTGATTACTCCGCCGTGTATTTTAGTCCTCTGTCATCCCATGCTTGTTGTCAGAATACATTCAGAATGTATTTCTTTT